ATATGTTAGGGGAAGGGAAAAATTTAAGATATGTACCGAAATGTTAAATGTGGATCGACAATACATAGTGTAGCAGGCTTTTTTTCATTCGAAGCTGTACATGAATTGACATTTTTGTTTACATTCTACTCACCAAAATGACATTTTAGAGTGCAAAAATCAAGCACAATATACGAACAAATTGTTGTTTGCTGTAATGCTGCCACCTGTTTAATGTGCCTTAGTACGTACTGATAGAAAGCCGAGCACAGTGGTACAGCCCCATAAATTTCTTGAAAAAAATTAGAAGGGGTCGGCCTATAACCTCAATTTTCTGTATGCAAAATGCGTGAAAAACCAGTAATACGCGTTCCACACCTTGAGAAGCGCTGCACTACACCTCAAAATAAAAAGGTACACATTTCTTTGGTTTTGGTTTGTTTTGAAGGAAATATTTTTGATTTATTGTACTCAACAACAGGTAATAGCTGATGTGGTGATCTCCGAAATATCACCGATGTAGTATATAATACGCGAATGGATTTTTGTCCAGGAGTAAAGATCTGTATCGTTCGCCCGATTGTCAAAAATGAGATATTAAATTAAAGCGCTTGGTCTGTAGATGTGCAAACTAGTTTTGGTTTTTCGAAAAGAGTTGCCACCAATTGAACAATAAAACTCAAATTATTTGATAATCAATGCCATCATGTCCGCACCGTTCGCCCGTTCTACTGAAATGAGATGTCAAATTAAAAGGCTTGGACTGTAGATATGCAATAAGGTTTTACTTTTTTTGAAAAGAGTTGCCACCTGTTAAAAATCATATTAGGTATTAGGAGAAATATGTATCACCCTATACGTGCCAAACGAAAGGGGTTTCAGAAAGTAGTAGTTTCAAAATATTTTGCCCCCTGCTTGAAATGTGGAATTTAGTTTACTTAAACTGCCTTTACATGAGGTGATTTTCCAGGCGTTTCAACATTGCTCTGGAAAAATCGCTCGTGTAAATAGTGATTCAAAAATCGCAGACAGCAAGTCAACTTTTGCAGGCGATTATCGCCTGTCAAAAAATTATTATTTATTAGAAACTCCACTTTTGGAGGTATTTTCAAATCGTCCCAGCTGTATGGGGTGTGATGCCGTCTATGGACATACATACATATATACGAGTATTAAACTAATCAAGAAAGAAATTTTCTAAGACACACGGTACTGACCTTGGCGTTCATTAGTGGAAAATTTCTCCCACATTTTAAATATTTTCTGACAGAACTCATCGGGCCAGAGGCGCTCCATTAGTTCTATTGGAGCGCTCTATATTCAGCAGTAAGCGCTCCCTCCCTAATTTCATACTTCATTGTATTTTAACATTGTGTGTCATTAGAAAGAAGTGCTCCCTTGCTGCTCCCAAAGAAGCCCTTGGTGAGCGCTTCAACTAAAGCATTTAAAAAGCGATACATGCAAATTTTAATTTTTATATTACATATACATATTTTTGTTTTAATAAAAAAAGGCATTTTTGTAAACCATTTGATGTTTTTATTAAGTGTACTTATAAACATGTTTTTTTTTTCTTTTCTATGTGGTATTTATACGAAAATACATGCATACATACATACATACATGTTTGCACATAAATTAACTTTTTTCAAAAGAAAATATTTTATGTTACTACTCAAAATGATATTTATTTCTGAGCATTGTTAAAAATTTAAAGATTTATTTTTTACTTTGCTTTTGTACTGCGCCGTACTTGCTCCTTTGGGGAGCTGCTAACTTTCCGTCCCATTGGGAAGCGATACCTAAGAAATTGGTTAATCAAATAAACAAAATGCTAAGCATTTAACTAAATACGGCTTGTTTTATTTTTTTTTATTATTGCTTACAAATTCTTAGTGTAATAAATTTAACAATGCATTTTTCAATATCAATACTAAAGGGTGTTTGACTGCTCAGGTGCAATTTCCTACTATTCTATTGTAAATGCACAAATGTACAATCCCCATTCATTCATACATACATACATACATACATACATATATATGTATACAAATATGTTTTCCTAAATGATGTCTAGTGATGGCTATTTTTATCTAGAAAAACTGATTACCAAGTAAGAATTTACATACCTGTGTGTGCTGGTTTGTTATAACTCCTCAAGTTTAGATCCTGGCTTTACAGCCCAGTCGTAAAAAACAAATGCTTTCGGAATGCGCCTTTTCAATAAGATCTTGTCCTTGGAAACTGTACATATAAGGAGATCTTCCAATAGCGTCGCCATTCAAAGGCAGAGTATAAGGTGTATTTCCAAGACAACGGAAAACAAATTAAAAAAAGCGCAGTAGACGTCGAAGTGCAACGTTAAGTTTTAACTCTGTCATTATTATTTTATGTAAATTTTCGCCTTCAAGGGAGCTGGATCCGAAGGCCTTGAGTAAAGAATCGGGCAAGGCAGGCCCTCTGCGCATGTTCAATTGGTTCAAGTGGTATGACACCTAAATCATTGCGACTTAAGTAAATGGAAGCTTTTGTATTTTTTTAGGGCCTCTGTAAGGCATAGCCATATTGGTAATAATTGCCATCTCAGAACTTCATAATGACCAGCAACTCATATACAACTTTACCAATACATTTTACGAACCGTGCACTGTCGCGAAATTTCTATAAAAGCAGTTAGTTCTGTTCGATGCATTAACAGTTTCACATCTTACAGACACTGGAATATTTCAAATACGATTAATTAGAGACAAACAACATAGTAGAAAATGTTCCTGATCAAAGCCAGTTGTTATGCGGGCTTGCTCCTGACACTTTTGAGCTTAAATGCTAATGCCCAGTTTGATCCTCACTATGTACCGGGAAGGACTACAATGGTACATCTCTTTGAATGGAAGTGGGGCGACATTGCTACTGAATGTGAAAATTTCCTAGGCCCCAAAGGCTATGGTGGCGTTCAGGTAATATTTAATTTTATATAAAGCTCTATTTTTTAATTTTTATGTACCGTTTGAGGATTCACCCCTTTTGGTATTAACTGAATGCAACTTAATAACATATGACTTACTCAACAGGTTTCACCAGTTAATGAAAATGTAGTTATCGGAAACCGTCCTTGGTGGGAGCGCTATCAACCTATCTCCTATCTTTTGGCCACGCGTTCGGGTAATGAGGAACAATTTGCTAGCATGGTTAAGCGCTGTAACAACGCTGGTGTGCGAATATATGTTGATGTCGTCTTCAACCATATGTCCGGCGATAACGCCAACGCTCGAGGAACTGGTGGCTCCGCCGCTGATCCTAGCAGCAAGAGCTTCCCGGCTGTTCCCTATTCCAACAATGACTTCCACAAGTCTTGTGGCATCAACAACTATAACGATGCGACTCAAGTACGTAATTGCGAACTTTCTGGCTTGAAGGATTTGGATCAGAGCAAATTATGGGTTCAAGATCGCGTTGTTGACTTCCTTAACAAACTCATAAGTTTGGGTGTTGCTGGTTTCCGTGTGGATGCAGCCAAACATATGTGGCCAACTGATTTAAAGGTAAATAGTTTACAAGCAGCAAAATATTTATATTTTTTAATAAATATCTGATTCGCTTATTTATTGAATTTTTTCGACAATCTTTTAGATAATCTATGGCCGTGTTAACAATTTAAGTATCTCTCACGGCTTCGCGCCAGATACGCGCCCTTTTATTTTCCAAGAAGTCATAGACTTGGGTGGAGAGGCCGTTTCCAAGAAGGAGTACACGTCTATGGGTGTGGTTACAGAATTTTCTCACTCCAACTCGATTGGTAAAGTCTTCCGTGGCAAGGATCAACTACGTTGGCTTATCAATTGGGGTCCCCAGTGGGGTTTCCTCAATTCCGACCGTGCATTAGTTTTCGTGGATAACCATGACAATCAACGTGGTCACGGCGCTGGCGGTGCTGATATCCTCAACTACAAAACAGCGAAGCAATACAAAATGGCCGTTGCCTTCATGTTGGCTCATCCATTTGGTATCACACGTGTCATGTCTTCATTCGCCTTCGACAACACCGATCACGGACCACCGACCACTGATGGAAACACCATTGCCAGCCCAATTTTTAATGCGGATAATTCTTGCGGTGGCGGTTGGGTTTGTGAGCACCGTTGGCGTCAAATTTCCAACATGGTTGGCTTCAGGAACGTCGTCGCGGGCACATATGTGCAAGACTGGTGGGATAATGGCAGCAACCAGATCGCTTTCTGTCGCGGCAACAAAGGTTTCGTGGCTTTCAATGGCGACTCATTCAATTTGAACACCTCTGTTCAGACCTGCTTACCAGCTGGTACATATTGCGATATTATATCTGGGGACAAATCTGGCTCGCTCTGCTCAGGAAAGAGTGTTGAGGTCGGTTTTGATGGTCGTGCCATTATATCTATCGACAGTAATGAAGAAGATGGTGTTTTTGCCATACATATTGATTCCAAATTGTAAATTCCTAACAAATGGAAGAAATATGAATATACTTACATATATCTGCATATACATATTTGTATTTAAATTAATTATAGAAAAACATCGTAGACGACCAAGAACCCAATGATTTCTAAATTTTTAATTGATCTATGTACATCGTGCGAATAGCATGCCAATAAATGGTAATTCCCTTAAATCACAGCGCAGGGCAGTGCGCGCGAGTGACGAAAGCAGCCACAGTAGCATGCTGAAATGACNCCAATTTTTAATTGATCTATGTACATCGTGCGAATAGCATGCCAATAAATGGTAATTCCCTTAAACCACAGCGCACGGCAGTGCGCGCCTGTGACGAAAGCAGCTTGTAGTAGCATGCTGAAATGACTCGCTTATATATACACGAGATTTGGAAGTTTTCATCCAGACGTCCAATCGGCATGTTTGAGATATCGTTGGAAAGGTCTTGCAGAGTGTGTCCAGAAAATGTATNGTTTTTTTGCTTTTTCCGGTTTAAGGGGGCATGTGAGTACACCCAACATATTTAGTGTTATTCTATAGGCCAATACCTTTCAAANTGAAACAAAAAAACGTCTTTTTGCTTTTGCCGGTTTAAGGGGGCATGTGGGTACACCCAACATATTTAGTGTTATTCTATAGGCCAATACCTTTCAAACGGTACCTTACATATTCAGTTCCGGCCACTAGTTGGAAAGATATAGAGGTAAATGTGTTTTGGTTCGTGTCTCCACTATGTATCTATGTGGCGTCTGTACGTACCTTCATTTCATTTTTTTCAAACTTTCAGGAATTAAATTATAAGACAAGTAATTTTTAGCAAAAAAAATCCGACTTCAACTCCCATATAAAAAAAAATATATATATATATATATCTCATGATCCACTGATCGCATCTCAACCAGATTAGTATGGGACCACCTCTGAGACACTACCTTTCCGATGCAAATTATACGATGAGAATTATCGAAATCGGTTGACGTGGTCCAAAGTTATGCGGTAACATACATAAAAAAAAAAACAAAATAAAAATATTCCGACGAACTGATAACCTCCTCCTTTTTTGGAAGTCGGTTAAAAAAATAAGAACGTTTTGTTCCAGGATGTTTTGATTCGTACGCATTTGTGGGCGTGGCTGCTGCCTGAAATTCGAAAAAATTCAATTTTTTAAACTACTACTGAGGCCGCACTACTCAGTCTATGTCATTGATGTGGATATCAGTAGAAGGGTTTTAAAACAAGCTATCTAACGCTGTCTTTTGTGTTTATGAAATATAAATATGTCATAACGTTATCGCCTGAAAACTAAAAATAGGACTGCTGAAGATATAGATTTCGAGAATTTTCTCAAAAACTGGTCAGTCGATTTTATTCTAAGTTTCCACAAATCTAGCCCAAAACCTTAGCTTTCATCTGGTATATAGCTTATATCTGGGAAAACTCTTGTTATGGAGATATTCCGATTCAAATTGAAAAAAATGTCGCTTCTAAAAGGTTCAAATGGTTAAAAATTAACATATCCGTCTAATTTGGGTATTTTAAGATATAAAAATAACATACTCAGTGCCCCGAAAAAAGTTCCCATTCCCCGATTGCCACTCAAATCGAAATTCTCTGCAAATCGGGAAATTTCCCGCGAGTTGACAAGTTGAAGGATGCAGCTGTGCTAATCACTTCGTACATTCTTGGAAACCATAATTTGTGTGTATTTTAGAGTTTTTTTTTCAGTCATATTCCGAAATTGTAACATTTTCCCCGTTTTAATTGTAGTTATGTACACAGTATTTAACTATGCTACATGGGTTTATCACCCGCACATAACCTACCTGGGAAGACGCNATACACAAATCATTGGGCCTCCGCACACTGGACTGCTCAGTCCGCCTAAAACCGGTTTTGTGTGGATAAGAGGGGGAAGAGAGTTCGAGCTTACCTCGCTCATTTCAGTCCGCGAAAATCGCGGATTGACGGTGGACTGACACGCACACATAGACAACATGCTTTCTATTTCGTTTTGTTTGTATGCAGCGTTGCCACAGACACATTTTTTCTCCTACCAAAATTTCCTAACGTAACCAACCAAAACCTACCAAACATTTTTTTTTAGTTTTAATATATTTTTTCATTGTAAAATTTATTAAAAACATAGCTAACATAACATTTAGTAAAACTAAAACACACCTAGTACAATAAAAACAAATTAGCTGCGTATAACGATTCATTTTACTGCACAAACATATATATCGTCATTAGATACGAATAAAGACGCGAGTCGAAAGTTGACAGCGAAAAAAGATGCGTAAAAAAATTTCGGCGAAGAAGAACTCTTATCCTAGGCGAGGGCAAAGAAAGATGCGTTAACCTCTTTGACGGGGAAGAAAGACGAAGAAGACTTATTTTCGCGAGTATACGAATTCCCCAAAGAGTTTTTCCGGAATGATGTTGAATCCATGTTTACGCGCCTTTTTTCGCAATTTTTTTTCACGCATCCTTTTTCGCCGTCAAAACACCCGAGCGCCTTTATTCGTGTCAAGTAACTATATTATTATTATTACTTCGGCGATACCCGCGTTGCGACCTAAGAAGATATATTGTGCTAAATCCTAATTGTAATCGCTCCAATATTAGGCTATTTAAAAAGCTCAGCACTTTGGATGATCCCATGTTTCAAATTTTAGATGGAGAAGACAATCCTCCCACAAGGTGCATCAATCTACTATTCATGCTTCGTGGACAGGTACATAGAATATACTCTGGGGTTTCCTTCACCGGCCCACAAAACGTACAGTCAGTCTCTACAGAAAGACCCTTTAATTCAATAAGGACGTTAACTTGCAGTGTGCTGTCAGGTAGCCAGTAAGAGTTTTAAGTTCAAGGTATCTTTCGTAGTTCCTCCTGAAAAGTTATGAATCCCTTTGATTGTCTTACTCGCTTCGACTTCTGCCAGTGTGCAGCAATTCCCAGCTAGCTCCTAAGTAAGTCTGCAGTGTATCCTTTAGATGTACCGCAAAAAGGCTCGGAACTATGCAAACGCATTTGGGCTCCAATCTTTGCAAGACAGTCAGCCCTTTCGTTGCCTTCAAACCCTTCATGTCCCTGAACCCTCCACAGCGGTACGCTATTGTGGACTCCCACATGGTTCAAGAGTTCAAAATCCTTGATGCCGTTTTAAAAGACTCTAAGGCTTCTAACGCTGCCTGAATATCTGACATAATATTTATTCTGGCCTCATTTTCTTCCTACGATAAAATTCGCGAACACAGACTTCGATTGCGAAGATCTCCGCCCAGAATATGGTTGGGTACACGCCCATTGGCAGACTTTCCTGGAATCTTGGTCCAAGTACCCCATGAAGTATATATGGATTTTCGTATTGTATATTGGCAATAATAAGGGTATACGTTTGTACTGAGGAATCATAGTTTATGTGCTTTTTAGCTGTATAAAAACTGCAAAAGGACTCAAAATTAAAATAAAACTACTATGAGATGTATTTATGTAAGCGTCCAATTTAAAAACGATTTATGTTTTCATCCGTTAAATGAGCTTCATATGCATATACAAATAAACATATTGCACAAAGGCTTATACTTCTATTTCACACCAAAGCTACACTTTTTCCAAGAAAATTTGCAAAGAAGCAACACGATGCCCTGCTAAGGGAGAGGTGCGAGAGAGACATCTCGTCCCGTTTCTGCCTTAACCTCGTATCTGCAATAGAGGTATTTTAGAGAGTGTAAGAAAAAATTCTTAATTTCTTCCCTAGGATACAATAAACGCATTTTTTACTTAATATTTCTGGTTCCACTAACAGTAGTGAGAACCAGCGTTGCCAGGTTGACCTTTTTTACGTTATTTGGACGTTTTTTGTATCCTGTTGACGTTTGGACGTTTTTTGTGTAAAAATTACGTTTTTTTGCAAATTTGTTACTAAATCTTGTAAGTAGAACTGATTTTGAATTATTTTCTTAATAAATCTTTACAAGCTTTGTTTTTTGCAGCAGGTGCCTCAAAAGATATTTATTCTTTGGGCACATATGACTTAAATATGATGCAAACCAAGCGTACNTTTTAACGTCATTTGGACGTTGTTTGTATCCTGTTGACGTTTTTTGTGTAAAAAAAATTACGTTTTTGAACTTCCCAGTAACTTTTCTTAATGCACAATATATTCAATGAATAGCGTACTATTTTCTTGTACAGTAAGTACTTACGCTCACACTGTCGGCAAATTTGTTACTAAATCTTGTAAGTAGAACTGATTTTGATTTATTTTCTTAATAAATCTTTACAAGCTTTGTTTTTTGCAGCAGGTGCCTCAAAAGATATTTATTCTTTGGGCACATATGACTTAAATATGATGCAAACCAAGCGTACGAGCATTTTTTTTTTTTGATTCTTGGACTGAGGATCCCGTGTTCAAACACCGTGTCAACACCTGAGGTTGCAAGGCATATTACAATGTTTGCAATTGCATATTAAAAGCCAAATGAGGAAGAGCTGATCTATTGCAACATGCTCGCTCGCAAAAGCACTATGTTCCTTCTTAGCAGAACGTAATTTAGCATTTTCGACAACCGACCACCTACCCAAAGGTCTACAAGAAAAAAAAATAATAATATTAAAAATCAAAGCGATTCTTTAGCAACTTAAAACTTGCACATTATTACCGTGGAATTTAATGGGCTATCAAAGTGCATACTCAAAAAAATTCTAAAAAATCTGAATAAAAACTTGAAAATCTAGCTGAAGGTTTGCAGATTTTTTATAATTTTTGCAAAAAGTTTGAAATGTGGATTTATATTGTGTTAGTTATATAATGAGCTAGGCTTTTAGGAAAAAATAATAAACAATTAATATACAAAAGAAAAACAGCCAAAATGGATCAAAATGTTGATGACTTAATCAGCTGGTCACAAGTGTATGTATAAAAGGATTTTTATATTAACGATCTCAAACTAGTTTACAATAGTGGTATTCACCAAATTGTTGTCAACAGTCGTTGCTTGAGCTCATCTGCTGTTTTGCCAGAGTGCCAGGCCACTTGCTCACTTTTGTGAATACCACTAATGAATTTTAAATGTGCTCTGTCGAAATGACATTTTAATATACCTTACGTATATAATAAAAGTTTAATAAGAACAATTCTGTGTGCATACATGGAAAAGACGTTTTTGGGTAGGAAATGACGTTTTTTCAGACGTCTTCTCATACCGAAAACCTGGCAACACTGGTGAGAACCCTCATTAAGTCTTTGTTCTATTTTCAAATAGTGTGACGCTTAAACAGCTGTTATAAGTGGTAATATTAGTTTTCCCAAAAATTATAGATACATGGTTAAGGCATAAACGGGACGATCTGTCAGTTTATCGAACCTTGTATTATTGAATCATGCACAGCCTTTATTTCTAACTTTTCTTCACAAACATGAACTCGAACCGACATGCTCATAGCAACCAGCAATGGGCCATCTCACATGTGTCGTCCCATTGCTATGGCGCCAGCCCGATTGTTTAGTCCATATTTATTATAGTATTTTTTTTTTATGTACATATTGCCGCCCAAAACCCCAGTACACACGAAAAAGTAGGCAACCAAAAGGCAAAAAAAAGCATCTGACATAGGTAGCATTAAAAGCATAAAAATAATAATTTAAATTTTTNACATGAACTCGAACCGACATGCTCATAGCAACCAGCAATGGGCCATCTCATATGTGTCGTCCCATTGCTATGGCGCCAGCCCGATTGTTTAGTCCATATTTATTATAGTATTTTTTTTGTATGTACATATTGCCGCCCCAAAATCCCAGTACACACGAAAAAGTAGGCAACCAAAAGGCAAAAAAAACATCTGACATAGGTAGCATTAAAAGCATAAAAATAATAATTTAAATTTTTCAGAAAATATTTACTAAAATGACATTCATATTTTTGCTTGCAGATTTTACAAATCTATACGAAATTTTGTATAGCAAGAAATTTAAAACGACCGCATATATTTTTATATTGATTTTTTTACAAAGACATACTTTATATCAATTTCGCGATTTTTGAAACTCAAACAACTCAACCAACAAAAAATGTTGCGCATACCAGGAATGCCATTTCTACCAGGCACTACTTTCCGGGATGTAAGTGCTAGTAGCTCATTAATATCAATGTTTGTGCAATACTATGAGTACATAGGAGTTTACTTGTATGTTTGTACTCGCTACTATGTTTGTATTTTATCCTGCCAGATGTCTCGTACGAATTTCCCGAAACCCCAGAGCTTGATGAATTTTCAAGGCATCAGCATGCTGAACGATCGCAAGCCGCCAGCCATGGTGGATTCCGGGGGAATGTGCATTGATATTAATTGTCCACCCACGGCCACACCTTCACTTTATCCCCCAAAGACTGGCCCTAAACTACCGCCATGGATTGCCTACGACAAAAAAGTACTCGGTTTCGACGCTTTCTTCAAGGAAACTCTACATGAGGTGTACAATGCTCCATATCAAGTACGTAAAGTGAAAATTATGTACTACCTCGAAGATGGTACCATGCAAATCATTGAACCGAAAGTCGATAACTCTGGCATTCCGCAAGGTTGCCTGGTTCACCGTCAACGTATACCGAAACCGCCGCCATGTCAAAATGAATTTGTCTCAATATTGGATTTGAATGTTGACACAAGCATACAAATATTTGATCGCACTTATTATATAACAAATTGTGATATTTTCACTCGCCACTTCTTGAATCGTTCGGGTATAGCCGTGCCCGATCCTGTCGATATGCCAGTGTAAGTCTTATGCTTCGAGATTCTTAAAAAGTTGCAAAGCTTATTTCAATTTCAGTGATCCCACGACTGAAATGCGAAAAAGATCGGGGAAGAAGGCGCATAATCAACCACCAAAAAAACATTCACTCGCACAGTTCTTGGCTTTTGATCGACAAGTACTTAAATTCCTTGGTTACTGGGATGATCGTTCGGAGTTTGGTGACGTACGAAAATTAGAAGTATGTTATTATTTAGCTGACGATACGATAGACATCAAGGAAATTTTTCCACGAAACTCAGGCCGGGAAGGTCCATCACTTTTCCTCAAAAGGGGCAAACTACCGAGGGTAAGTTTTAATTGGGAAAAAAATTATATAAAAGAACATCCTATTAGAAATCTTTATCTAAACAATACTCTGAAAAGGGTTTGGCATCCCTTAGCATTTGGACAAGGGTTGGTTTTTAGGAACTTTTTAAATACATACAATTTTGTCGACTTTTCTTGTTGTTGTTGTAACGCAGATGATTTCTTAACCCTGCACAGATCAGTGAGTCTATCAAAATATCTGGACGGTGTCGGACCAGGCGATGAGAAGTGTATTAAGTTCAAGCAAAGAACGTAGATACGTTCTTTGGTTCAAGTGGGCATATGAAGCTGTGGTTACATAATAATTTATCTGCAGGTATTTTCCCAAATTAGACATATGCATGATACAAAAAAGAAGGTAGTTTCACTCAATGATTTTGGTTGCCATGTTGGCCATTTGATTGCTGGCATTATGACATTTTCATCGAAATCAAGTTACCAGCTACAATAAATAAATAATTTTTTTACTGCCTTTTTNCGTTCTTTGGTTCAAGTGGGCATATGAAGCTGTGGTTACATAATAATTTATCTGCAGGTATTTTCCCAAATTAGACGTATGCATGATACAAAAAAGAAGGTAGTTTCACTCAATGATTTGGTCGCCATGTTGGCCATTTGACTATTGCTGGCATTATGACATTTTCATCAAAATCAAGTTACCAGCTACAATAAATAAATAATTTTTTTACTGCCTTTTTAAAAATTACATATGTGCATATGTGTATGTACACACAAACAAACTAATGAGGATTTAGTGACATCGTCGCACTTGCTGTGAATCCTAAACGACATATTGCTGACAATGATACTGGTGGCAATGTCATGCAGGTGTACTTACTCCCTTACTCAAAGACTTATAACAGACAATATCTTGCAGCGGTCACTTATAAAAAGTTGATTGCAAGATACTGTCGCTTGAATGTCATCAATGATCACTGCCTGACAAAGTCATGCAGATGACATCAACGACGAAATTACCATTTATATGAAAAAGTCAGGAACGACTTCTATATAAATGCCGAAAGTCATTTAAGACGTAACTTTTCCGTACAAGACACTTAAGTGACTAACGCATAACATTCGCTACGGGGCATTTTTTTAACAATAAAAAGAAAAAAATTAGTTGCGCGTTTAAAGCCTGCCAAAATTCTATGCATTTGTTTGATTCGGGGTTGAAGTTTTTTAAATTCCCAACGCTCCCTTTTGTTAGAAATATGTAAGTGGTTAGAAGATTGTGACGTCAAGGAAGAAAATCTTCCCCAAACTATAATTTATTGTTTGAACGTATTTTGCCCTAACGGATATACATATGTAACTACTAGTTTGCCCTGTTGTTGTTGTTGTTGTAGCGGCTACAACAACCCCGCCCAGATCGGTTGATATCTCAGTCGTTGTTGNGTGGTTGAACGTATTTTTCCCTAACGGATATATGTAACTACTAGATTGCCCTGTTGTTGTTGTTGTTGTTGTTGTAGCGGCTACAACGACCCCGCCCAGATCGGTTGATATCTCAGTCGTTGTTGTCAAGTTCCACTAACGGCAGCCCTAGGAAGCGTGCAGCCTCTATCGGGTCGGCCCCGCTTCGCTGAGTGTATGAGATTTTTACTTGCTACATTGAGTAAAATTTATTTCAAGAAAACTCAATTCAAAAACAGGAGGTTAAAAATTTGTTTAACCATCTTCGAAATATTTTCAAACTTAAACTTTCTTAAACTTCTCACTTGTCATACTTTTTCAATTAACTTATCCCCTGAACTCAATTTAAGATTTTAGACAGATGAAAACCCCTTACATGTAGTTTTGAAATGAAGCCCTTTCAAACCCATTTCGACTGATACTCATATTGATATAAATCATTTAGATTATTGAATAGTTTGAATTTAACCTTTTAAATAGTTGNTCATATTGATATAAGTCATTTAGATTATTGAATAGTTTGAATTTAACCTTTTAAATAGTTGGCAACCTTTTACAACCCCTTTCGTCTGACACTCAAATTGTGATACATATTCAAAACCATATCGATTCATACCAATCTATACTAATATATATTTTTAAAGCGGTTTTTTTTGCGTTCGCAAAGCCCGATAACGGCCGAACCGATTTTTTTTTTGGGTCCCGTTATTTTTTTTAAGAAAAAATCAACAGATTATTTGATAACTGTCAATTCTCAAAGTTTTAATTTGACATATAATTCGTCATCAGCATGTCAAAAAACTTAATCAGTGGCATTTTTGAAAATAAGACAACCTATTTTTAGCAAGGTTTTAATTTGACATAAAATTCGTGATCAGCATGTCTTAATTCTACAGAATTTGCCAGATTTGACAGCTGTTAACTGTCAAACTATAAATTTTATGGCATTTCGGAATTACCATTAAAACAATACTAGAACCTGCAGTTTTATTATAATCGTAACAGCCCTTCTAATTATTAGCGTAAAACATGCCTTCTCCGACCACTATACGCCGGTCTTTTGGGGTTTTTTTCAATTGCCATTTATAAAACCTGGCGTTGATTTTTTTAAATATATATTTTTTTTGCGAACAATCAAAATACATATGTAATTTCTTTTTATTTAAAGAATCATTTAACATATTTAGTGCTGTTATCTCACGTATGTTTTAAAATTTATCTGCCCGTTAAACAAAAATGTACATGTACCTACATACATATCTTCTATACATATACGGGCCAATTCCTAATACTCCCGGGGAGTTTGTTTCTTCCGAGAGAGAAATCCCCTAATAATTAACTCCCAGGAGTAGCATTTTCCCCGAAAACTTGGGAGGATTAAATTCGAACGTCGAAAAAGTTTTTGACACTTTTTTGAGAGCTCAACTCCGCCCTTTAGTATAAAAAATACTCAAGAAATTTTTATTCATGATAGGAGGAAAGGGAAAAGAGAGAAAACTCCCGGGGAGTTTCTGTTCAGAATCGGCCTGATAATAAAACTATAACAAGCTGATGTCTGTACATTATACTTAAGATATTAAAGGAAGATTATTAGACCAACAAGTCAAATCAACAATTTTTAGAATTTTTGTCTGTCTGCATGTTTGTACGCGCATCATTCGAAAAACAATGCATGGAATTGAATGCAGTTTTCATCGATGTATTTCTAGAGGTCATACTTATGCAGCATTTTTGCTGCATTTAAAACGCAACATTTAGCGCTTTCGAACATATGTTTTCGAAGAGCGTTCATGCTATCGCATTTAGCAAATGTACATTTACGCGAGTTCAAAATCGTATGCTTTTAACAAACAGCCGTGTTCCAGTCGCTTATTCAAATCCGTATCTATTACGATCAATTCTCACAAAAAAGATAATGTGCAAAAAACCTTACTGAAAAGGGAAAAAAATTTAAACCAAAAAATCAATACAAAATCTTGAATTGTTTTAACAATAACCGAAAATTTGTTTGTGTATATATTCATTTGTCGGTGTTGTCAATTAAAATTTCCTCACTTAATTAGGAAACAAAATGAACAGAGTTGATCACAAATTGATCCAGATTTCTATCAGCATCACATCGGCCCCTATTATGAGTTGCATTCGATCTTCGACTGTGGTCGAAAGTGCTGATCGAACGAATTTTCATTTGGTATTATGGCGCTCATTTGATGAAGAATAGCGCTATTGTGAATTTCGCTCGTTTAGGTTGTTCACAATAGTATATTTTTCACCGCTGAGAAGCTTTGTTTACAGATCGAGCAAACTAAATAATGTGCTTATACATATGTACATATGTAAATTTGTGCAAATTAAAATGAAATAAAAAAGAAAGCGAGTTTATAAAAGCATGGTAAAAATAAATTTTAATTAGCACAACGGAGGTCTGGTTGAACGTTTCGTCAGAGGATGAGGGCTTAGAAAACTGTCCAGGAGCAGAAAACGTGAGAGTTTAAGTGCAGTCTTTCGAATATATTTTGATATACAATATATTTAAGAAATTTTGTGATCCAAATCTATTTAAAATATATTAAAACTATACACAGCTCCATGATTTTGTTTTCAGAGATCGTGCCAACAGCGTATTTCATATGTAAAATCAGACTTTCGAGCTTGTGTTTACTATTCACGACGTTAGAACTGCTTGAAATTAATACATATTGGGTAAAATTAGTGTCTAGCCGCCAAAAAGTAAGAAAACAAATGCAAAATCATACATCTTTAAAATTTTCTAGCACTTCGCTACACCAACGAAAGCAAAATTCTGTTCGACAGAAAATTCGATACTCAACGAAAATTTCGACAGGCTTGCATAGCTCATAATACGAATTTCACTTTCGATCTTCGATAGCCAGCGAAGATCGAATGCAACTCATAATAGGGGCCATCGATGTTGAATTTGAGTAACTTTTGTTTATCCAAATAATGTAAAATAATAAATGAAATCTCGACAAGATCACGTAAGAACAAGAGAGTGAAAAAAGTCGATTTTTTTAGCGGGTTCTACGCCATCTTGTTTCACTGGAAAACGAGCGAAAAGTAAACAAAGCAAAGAAAACAACGAAAACCAAAATTAGCCAAAATTATTGTCAGCCACTTTAAACGCACAATTTAGGTAAAATGATGCAACAAAATGATTTAAAATGTGTTATGTTGAATTAACTCTTCTTTACTTGAATAAAAGTGTAAAATAGTGGTGCTTGTGATGTAAACAAACGCTCAGCTGACGAACCCGCTTTCGCAAACTTTTCTCTCAAAACCAGTTACAAATACAACGTCGCGAAAAAGCAATGTTGCCACTTTTTCTCATTAAACCATGTTCGAATCGTGGAAATTTTGGAAGATCACAGGGTTGCTTTTAGCATTTAGATTCTTAATGCAAAAATGGAGTTGCATTTAGTTGCATTTAGATGACGAATTTTGTATGGATAAATGTACAGTAGAGTAGCATTTAGATCTAAATGCGCTAAATGTGCTTTTAAGCGTAAGCAAAAACGGCCCATTATTACAGCCGAAAATATTTCTGTTGAAGGTTGCCACCGGTTTGGAAAATTTAATTTAATTTAATTGATAAGATAAATTTAATATTGCAATGTGGGTATCAAGACTAAGAGGTTTACAAAAGTTTACTGCCGGAAATATGTTTGATTAGGGTTGCCACACGTTTGAAAAATTTTATTCAATTAAATTGATAAAATAAATGAAATATTCCTTTCAAACTTTTTTTGATGCAGGAATGCATCTAGATCAGTGATTCCCAAAGTGGTCCAGGTGGACCCCCAGGGGTCCACGGGAGACTCGACGGGGGTCTACGTTGGCGTGAAAAAAAATATGGGGGTCCACGAGTTGTAACTGGGGGTCCACGAAAATGTATCGATAGTAAAGAATCAAAATGGTTGCTTCATATCCTCTTTATTTAACTTTAATTTTTTTGAGTGGTGTGTAGTGCTCTTGACACCTGTCTTCATACGTAGGGAAGCCTTAAAGGCCACCCTCAGACTAGAATGAAACGGATATTCTATAACCAGGGAACGGATTTTTAGGACCTAAAAACCTATAAAAAAGGCAGAATAAAGTAACGAAATAGGCTGGAAAAGGCAAAATAAAATAGCGAAAAAGGCAGGAAAAGGCACTAGGTACTGTAAAAAAGGCAAAAAAAGGCAAAATAAAATAGCGAAAAAGGCAGGAAAAGGCAAAAAAAAGGTATTGCAAAAAAAGCAAAATAAGGCACTAAAAAAGACAGAAAATACGAAGAACAATCAAAAAATATATTTTTTTAGAAATGTTTATATTACAAGTAAAAAGAGAAAAACTTTGAACTAGTTTCATTATATGAAAAATTTGTACTTTGAATCTTTGAATCGATCATAAAACTTTAATCTGTATAGTTGTACTAACATTGAACCACAAGATGCATTTTGAAGTTTTCTGGCATTTTCATTCGATTTTCGCGAAGAAGAGCATTGAATGTACTAAATGTGCGCTCGAAGTAAGTTGATACAAGTGGAGCCCAATGTAAATATGGAACGTTTGAAACGTTCATATTATCAGGAATAAGGGCGTTTTCCTCGCCCTTTACAATTTTATCAACACCCCTTATTGTCTTCAAGCCTACGTTAGCTGAGAAAACGGCTTTGAATTTTTTCAACACCAATTTGGCAAGAGGTCCCTGCGCTTCTATAAGCCGCATGGGCATGTGTATATTTTTTTATTTTTTAATCTTAAAAAAAAAAAAATGTAAATGCTATAATCACTTTTTTAAAGGTAGAAAGGGCAAAAAAAGGCAAATATCTTAAAAAAGGCAAATATGTTAAAAATGGCAAAAAAAGGCAACATCAAATATTTATATATGGAAAGAGGGAAAGCTAAATCGTGGACATTCTTAATCGAATATACTCTATCTCTTTAGCAGAAAAAAAGGCAATTTCCATAAAATCCGTTCCCTGCTTATAACACTGAGTGGGGCGCGGCGAAAAATGCTGGCGGCAGAGATTTGAGCACTTTTGTATTTTCAATGCTATAGGATAGTACACCCATTACGCACCCATTACCTTTGTTGAAGAGGTTCTATAATGTTAAGTTCCCTGGAGCTGAATGCCGGTTTAATTCCAGCACTGTGCCCGGAGTCACACATTGTCCAGTCGTCGCTGATGGCTCCACAACTGACTCTGGGTCGGGATGTGGGGTCTTTTTCGAAGCTAATGGGGGTAAGCTTCACTCGTATCTTGGGGAATGCAATACGTGGTGTAAAATAGGTAGAAGGGAAGGAGTTTACATATATGAAATGGCAGCCAGGCTGCACTTAAGGCATTGGCCAGCCCTCTATCTAAGTACTTCCTACCTAAATAGTTCGGCAATGCAAGTCTCAACTTATGTTATTATTTTATGTTGGTAAACATAACGAGCTTGCTTTACTCAGGGTACCAGGTCACTCGGGAGTTGGTAATGAGACATCTAACCATTTGACCAGAACTGGCTCAAACCAGGCATTCTCATCACTTTAAAACTCGGAGTGATAAAAATAAAAATGATGTCATCAACACAAATGAACTATTTTACCAATACGCCACATGCAAATTCATGAGTGAGACAAACATGTGAGGGGTGAGGTTTTGCTAAAGAGAATGTAAATAACGCTAGCGCTCGGAGTTCCCTTTAAAAATATGACTCCTCAGAGCTTTACGAGTTCTGTTTTTTAAAACTTGCAAGTCTGTAATAGTCCAAGAGCTGGCAACGTTTTTCTTACACTATTTATAACCAGGCTAGAACTTTCATGATGAGTCCGCTATGACGGCCCATTAAACTAGCTGAAAGTCTGGCGGCCCTCCAGGGGTGGCTTTGGCGCCACCAGGATTTTTAAGGATGCAAAAAAAACACATCAATTACACTATTTTAACCAGTCTGGTATTTTGGGATATCAGTGTTGGTACTTCTCCGAAACCGAAAAAAAAATGGCCAGACTGGTAGGGCGGTGCAAAGTGGGTGCCAGACGCGGCTAAAGTGGCGATTAAAAGTGGACTATTTACACTATAATAACCAGGCTAAATTTTATAAATTACCATAGGTTGAATCCTCAGGAGGCTATATGTTTGAAGCCAGACGAAATTTTGGGTGCAAATGCCCTGCCAGATCCAAAAATCCGTTACTATGCAGACGTTCAAATCAACTTGTTNAACCGTTGTCAGCTCTTGGACTGTAATAAAGAGAACATGGTAAAATATATTTTTTTTATTTTTGCCACTTCGAATTTAGATTCGGAACTCACCCGCGATGCAAATTTACATCGTTAGATCTAGTCTTTAAATTTTTGATGAGCTTTGGGAATATGTTAGACATGTAGCAGCTGGGGGTCCACCGAAACCAGTAAGGTTTTGAAAGGGGTCTACGGGGGAAAANCAGTAAGGTCTACGGGTCTACGGGAGAAAAAAGTTTGAGAGCCTCTAATCTAGATACTCTAAGAACATTTCCGCATCAAAAAGAAAATTTTGAAAAAAATTTCGCTTACATCTTTTTGGAGGTTAGCGCTCGATATGTATATTACTAAGATAAACCCAAAATTATGTATGTATCGGTTATTAGTCTCAAAAAATACTTTATATTAAAAAGCACATAAGCAAAATTGTTTTTGGTGCTCATAAGCAGCATTGAACTTATCTCGACAGTGTATGTACAAAAGCAACATACAAATTTGTAGGCACCAAACTGTTAAAATTCAGTACTATCACAGAATTTATCGTAGTCCGAGTTTTCGTGAAATCTTCGAAAATGCTAAAACAGTATCCGAATAGTCACGAACGTAGCGTATACTTTGAATACACACATTCGTAGCAATCCGAATTCACTGATCGCATTTTCGTAGATTTCACGAATAATCGGACTACGATGGATTCTGTGATAGCCCCCATTAAAAATCCTGTTGATCATATTCTGTCGAAGCGGGCGGTACACATAAAGTTGCCTTCTCTATTTTTGTAGGAATTTAATGGACTTCCCCTACCTGGCCAAGAAACCCCTCAAACGCTGTTGAATGTCCTGGGCACGAGCATGCGAAATGTGCGCTTCACCATCGATCCACTCNGTATGTACAAAAGCAACATACAAATTTGTAGGCACCAAACTGTTAAAATTCAGTACTATCACAGAATCCATCGTAGTCCGAGTTTTCGTGAAATCTTCGAAAATGCTAAAACAGTATCCGAATAGTCACGAACGTAGCGTATACTTTGAATACACACATTCGTAGCAATCCGAATTCACTGATCGCATTTTCGTAGATTTCACGAATAATCGGACTACGATGGATTCTGTGATAGCCCCCATTAAAAATCCTGTTGATCATATTCTGTCGAAGCGGGCGGTACACATAAAGTTGCCTTCTCTATTTTTGTAGGAATTTAATGGACTTCCCCTACCTGGCCAAGAAACCCCTCAAACGCTGTTGAATGTCCTGGGCACGAGCATGCGAAATGTGCGCTTCACCATCGATCCACTCAACATGGGCGAGAAGGAGGTGCTCTACTATACTGATCGCGATTTGCAAATTGGTACAGTTCTGAATGTATATGGACGTGCCGTAGTTCTTACAGATTGCGATGATTACACCCAGGGGTATTACAGAAAACGGGTGCGTATATTTCTTTTACAATAACCGCCTCAAGTAATAACATTTGAACATTCCCTTACATCCAAGTACGGAATAGAAAACTTTACTCCTGCACCTACACCATCACGCGGTGACGATTGTGCGCCAACTAAACAGAAGGAACGTATACTGCCTCCCTACAATGGTTGGGGTTCGTATGAAGATTCTGAGGGCAACTGCATCTCGGTCGAGCCCAAGCCGCCCCAGACGGACTTTAAGAAATTCATTAAACTTGATCGTTATGTACTTCGTTTTGGCGCAAAACTGCTATCCACTATCCGTGAGAATTGTGAACGTATTTTTATTATTTCATATTACTTATCCGATGACACAATACAAATCTTTGAGATTGCCGAACGCAACTCTGGATTTCTTGGTGGCGAGTTCATGAAGCGCACTCGGATACCGTTGCCGGGGCAGGAAAAGTTCACGTCGAGGCGCCCGCAATACTATCAGCCATATAATTTGTATATTGGCGCAACAATAAGCCTGAAGGACCACATATTCCACATTGTTTCGGCTGACGAATACACACTCATCTACATGGAACATCATCCATATGAGGTGCGTAAAACGAATATTTTCGTGTTTGCAGCTGCTCTTTCCATTTGCAAACATTTTCATTCTAGTTCCCAATGGCTGATATCAAATCAGTAATGGCGAAAATTAGCGAAGCTGCAAAGGCTGATTACAAAGGCTTCCTATGTCAATGCCTACCCGAGGGCGTTGAGTCTAATAAAGATGTTCAATTTATTGGTTTTGATTCACTTAAACGTGCTCTTATAAATCTTTTGGGCGACAAGATCACTAACCACGAAATCATTACGGTCTGTCGCTATTTCTCCGCGGAGAAAGCACCGCCGCAGTCATGCAATCGGGAAACGGTACGTGCGGCTGTTCATTTGGAGTTGAAGCGCTCTCTATGGAATGCAATGGATGAACTGAAAGAACATTTGCATCACATCAATCCACTCAACAAGCCATTCCTCTCCGAGGCTAAACTACGTTCCACAATGAAAGGTTGCCGTTTACCTTTCGTTCCAGAACTAATCGACGATCTGCTTAGCGTTTTGAACCATAATGACTGCGGTGAGGTTGAGGTGTGCGACTTCCTTAACTTCATAGATATGGAATGTGGCAAGGTACCCGACATAGCGCCAATGAATATAAACTTTGAGCTATGCCCCAAGATACCTTTCCTGCATAAGGGCCGCTTGGTGAATATCACCTGCTTCCTTCAGCATCTGGGCTTAGATGAAGATGCAAAGCCAAAGGAAGATGAGGTTGTTTAATGTGAGGTCTAATTGGACCACTGAAAAGATATACCACCATTTATATAAGACTTAAATCTTTTGTCAACGCATTTTTACTTTTCACTATCACACATTACCAAAAGAAATCCTTGTAACAATAAAATTAACTTTTGTAAAGGAAAATATGTACATACTAAGCTCTGTTTTAGAAACGTATCACTCCATATTGTGTTCACATATCAATAATGCGCCAATAAAAATTTTACTAAATAAAAACGTGTAGTTGTTAATACATATTTCAAGCACCTATATAAAGGATACATAAAAACAAGATACATCATATCTCACCAAAGTAGAAATCAAGAATACGGTCACAGTATAAAAAAAAAACATATGTATCCTTTAGAGATTATGGATTTAGCAAATAATCATTGACTTACATTTACATATGTTGTTTATTACATATTAGGAATGTTCAGAAAATAAAAATTTTAGCACTGTTATTTTCGCATTTACAACCGATGTAGAAAATAAAATTACTTTTAATACATATAAAATAACCAGATTTGCTGGGATCTGTTAAAAATGCACATTTATACAGTGAAGAAGATTATAGTAATCTCCAGTAAAATGACCTTACATAGAAGTGTGACTGTAAGCAAATCGCTAGCATCTCAGCTAAGGGGACCGTTGTCAAGCAATTTGGGTTCACAAAATATCTTTCAGCTATCTACAATTTAGATTCGGTTAACCAGTTGAATGTCTGTGGTTTACGATCAGATGAAGGATTTATCGCCACATTAATGATAGTTGGCTTATCAGTAAGTTGCTGTGCTTCTCTGAGAGAATCCTGTAGTTCTGGTATCTCCTTGCAGAAATAGCCTTTCAACCCAAACATCTGCATCATTTCTTCGTAGTGCACTTGAACGCCCAACGCTGACGGTGGTGTTCTGCAATTGTAAACAAAATCTTATGTAATTAAAATATCAAAAAAAAACTCCATCTTGGCTTACACTTTAGACAAATCACCAGAATTTTGAATGGCGTCAAAGGTTTCTTGATCGAAACCACCATAAATACCATTGTTATTGACAATGACTATCGTAATGGGTAGCTTATAGCGCACCATTGTTTCTAACTCCATTCCAGAAAATCCAAAAGCGCTGTCCCCTTCAACACATATCACACGTTTTCCGGGGAAACGATCGCGGCAGTAAAGCGCTGCCGCAATGGCGAAACCTGGACCAACACCCATAGTGCCGAAAGTACCAGCATCTAAGCGGTGGCGTGGCAAAATATTAAAAAGCATTGAACGACCAATATCCATGGTGTTGGCACCCTCACTAACAATTATCGCATCTCGTGGAATCAATTCACGCAAATGGTGAAACACTGTATAATAGTTAAGTGGTGCGGACGTATTCAACGCCATACGGCGCACTTGTTCGCGGTTGCTCTTGCACTTGCTGGCAAGTTCCTCCCACCAAGGATTGTCACTTGGAAATTCAAAGTTTACTGCATTCATTTGCTCAAAAATTTGCTCTGCAAATGGCTTAATGTCCGATTGTATAGCAATTGCAGATTGAACGGAGTTATGCAGCTCTTCAGGGCAAATGTCGACCTTTAAAATAAAAATTTATGTAAATCGAAAAATTTATATTTTACAAGGGCAATATCACTTGAATGAATTTGACATCAGCACTGTAACGTGGAGGCTTCCCAAAATGTAAAATCCAGTTAAGACGAGCACCCAGTAGTAAAACAACATCAGCCTTCTGTAAAGCCAAGGATCGCGCAGACGAAACACATTGTGGCGCAGTATCAGACACAACACCTTTGCCCATTGGTGTCGGTAGAAAAGGCAAATTTGTATTTTCAACGAAATGGCGCAATATATTTTCTGCTTGTGCGTAGGCAGCTCCTTTTCCAATTATAACAAGTGGTCGTTTTGCAGAGCGCAACAAATTGGCAGCACGTATAACATCGTCATGAGCCGGATAAACAAGAGGCGGAACGGGAAGGGATAATGCTTTGTAGATTTTATCCTGACGTACTCGTGATTGCAATATGTTGCCGGGTAAGTCAAGGTAAGAAACGCCAGGCCGTCCATATGTTGCGTAGCGTACAGCTTTTTCTACATGAAGTGGTATAAGCGAAGCCGTAGGCGGGCGCGCGGCATACTTGCAGTACGGACGAGAAATTTCAACTTGGGGATATTCTTGAAAGCCCCCGATACCTTCATGATCCTGACTTGTCGATCCAGCGATCACCAGCAGGGGCCAACAATTAACTTGTGCATTTGCCATGCCACCTAAAATCAAATAAACATTTTGTATTTGCAATTTTGTCAACAGTATCAATTGCATTCTGGCATACCGGTAACGTGGAGCAATCCTGGCCCAGAAACTACAAGGCACACAGCAGGTTTACCAGTTAAATATCCTATTGCTTGAGCGGCATAGCAGGCAGATTGCTCGTTTCGCATGCCAATGTATTTGAGTCCCGCTGCTTGAAAAGCCATTGACAATTCAATAACAGGTATCCCTATGATACCGAAAACATATTCAACACCCTGAAAATTTGTATTTTAAAGACAATTATTTCAGGTAAATGATAGCGGATAAAGTTAAATTAAAAAGAAATGCAGCTAACCCCGAGTTCAGTACAATTGTTGGATAGCACGTTTATTTTCATGAATTACCCGAGAGAGCGCAAAAAATTTTACTAGCAGTAATTTGCTAGTTAAAAAAAAATGAGGTTATATTTCAAATTCAAATATAGACAAAGTATGTAACCCTCCATTACAGGCTAACCTAATATTCACGCATGCCACAAATTCGACGACATGCGTACCAAAACGCAAGCCGCGAATATTAGGTTANAAACGTTAAATTAAAAAGAAAAGCAGCTAACTCCGAGTTCAGTAGAATTGTTGGATAGCACGTTTATTTTCATGAATTACCCGAGAGAGCGCAAAAAATTTTACTAGCAGTAATTTGCTGGTTCAAAAAAATAAGGTTATATTTCAAATTCAAATATAGACTAAGTATTTAACCCTCCATTACAGGCTAACCTAATATTCACGCGTGCAACATATTAGGTTAGCTTGTTAGGCGTGTGGATTCTACTCACGCGGTTAGTCGCGGGATTACAATGGTAGTACAACATATTTCGCTGCTGTAATGTTTTATTTAAAAAAAAAATNTTGTTAGGCGTGTGGATTCTACTCACGCGGTTAGTCGCGGGATTACAATGGTAGTACAACAAATTTCGCTGCTGTAATGTTTTATTTAAAAAAAAAATGTTTATTTGTTTCCAATAAATGTTTATTTATATTATTATTTTTATATTTGTGCTATGTTCAAAACGTATCTTTTTTGCGTCAGATATTTCAATTTCCGTGTATAACAACATATGGCCCAAATCGCCGAAAACGAAACCAAGGGGAACAATTTTTTTTATCAGGTTTTTCAGATTNATACGCCTAATTGATAGAAAAATTAAAGCAGGCGATGCGTGTTGTTTTGAGCCGTTTAATACCAGGTTCTTAAAAATGATCATTTCAAATTTATAAAAAAAATTTGGTTATCTTCACCTTCTTCATCCATGGAACTTTCCTCTTCACTAGAAAGCTCATCCAACCGTTTCATCCAAACACCAGGATCTGTGCTATGTTCAAAACGTATCTTTTTTGCGTCAGATATTTCAATTTCCGTGTATAACAACATATGGCCCAAATCGCCGAAAACGAAACCAAGGGGAACAATTTTTTTTATCAGGTTTTTCAGATTTTTTATTATATCTGGGTCATACATATTCTAACGTATCGGATAACAAAAATAATAACACGAATTTCCTTTTCTCAAACATGAAAATTCTCTTAATCCTGAGACACCATTAAATTAACAAAAAATAAAAAAGCACAACATGAAACTAAAGGGTAGTTTACATGATACAAAAAAGAAGGTAGTTTCATTGTCACTTTTCGGGCGCCATATTAACTACCTGACAATTAAGCAGATTGTGACATTTCGTGCTACCATACCTAATCCTCAATAATCATTTATTTAATGTAAAAAAAAAAATATTTAGAAAATTAAAAGGAAATTTGTCTTCGGTCTGAGCAATGACGAAAATTGAAATTCATACATCGCCATATTTGAAAAAGCAACCAACTGACTTTTTCTTTGAAATAAAAGACCGGTAAATATGTTGTCCACCGCAAAAAT